ACCGACCGGTGCGCACCCGAAGACACCACTGGAAGCGTCGACAGCAATGAATACTCGGAACCGTTAGTCGGGTGCATGGGTTGAGTGACAGCCGGTGCTCGATGTGGACACTGCGGACACTGCGGACACTGCGGACACTGCGGACACTGCGGACGTGGCTTCCAATGACTGGTGGAAGTGCTTGTAATCACTAACAGTAATGCAGACAATAGTCACCTCGTAGTCAATCACTGTTTCAATAGTGAGCCCATACTGTACANCATGGGTTGAGTGACAGCCGGTGCTCGATGTGGACACTGCGGACACTGCGGACACTGCGGACACTGCGGACACTGCGGACGTGGCTTCCAATGACTGGTGGAAGTGCTTGTAATCACTAACAGTAATGCAGACAATAGTCACCTCGTAGTCAATCACTGTTTCAATAGTGAGCCCATACTGTACATCAATCATGTCATTCATGTGTTAACTCTTGCCATACATTTAGATCTTTTGTGTGCACAACGCTATTCATTAGCACATATAAAAGGCCTACAATGCCTACAATCATCTATTGATATATGCGGTGACAGGTCATTGTTTTGATGGCCATGTGTTTGATGTGATTGTCATTCATTGAGTGATCTATTGGTAAGACAATCAACACTTCCACACATTCAGACATCTGTGGCAACATGTCTGTCGAGTCTATACCACGAGATTTAAGACATTTGAGGGCATGTCTGCTCTGTTCACTCATTAAGGTATGCATTCATTGTATGATTGTATTGATTGTATTAATTAATGAAACCATTGTTTGCATGGATGGTGTGGTGGATGTGTTGGATGTGTTGGATGTGATGGTCAGTCCTTCGATCAGTTCGAGTTCGACGGATGCGATAATTGTGACGAATATCTGGGAATGAAGAACAACCGGGAAATGGTGTACGACTGCACGTCCAGCAACTTCGATGGGTCAGTGTCCAAGTGTCCATTGTCTCCATGTATGTCCAAATGTCCTGTATGGCAGTGTATGGGTGTGTGGGTGCCTGACACACCTCCACACACACCCACCTATAGTGCAAACTTCAATTATATTAGCGCTAATATTGCACACAATTTAGTTATCCACTATTGTATGCATTACAGTTATCATACCGTATAGTGTTGTGTTGCAATATCAACCAATTTGAGCAAGGTCTCTACGCTATGAGGCTGATTATCAGTTATATGTTAATAGTGCTCATTAAGTCTAGCCCTAATGAGTAATGTAATATGATGTACAATATAATACAGTATTGTGTACCGTATTATGCTTGATACGTTACAATAAAATTTACGATGATTCTCTACTGTACTGTACTGTACTGTACTGTACTAGGTGCATCATTTAGACCCTAAATTTTAGAGAAGTTTGAAAAGTTGCATAATATTTGTGTATTTGACTGGAAATGGTTGCCATTCTATGTATGAATGGTGATCACGAGCTGATTGTATGTATTTATGAGGGAATACCCGATGAGTGCATGATATATAATATGCGATACATTGGTATAATTGAATGTCTTATGAAGTCTCTAAGAGTCACCTCTACTGTCGTATAACATATATTTTACTTAATATATGAGACATAGTTTGCCAAAAAATAGATTTATAAGAGTTTGCGAGTCGACTGTCTGTCCATTCTTGTAATAACAGAGTACTGGAGTTAACGTGAATAATCACCTGGACTTGGATGTGATTGCCAGTGCCTACCAGTGCCTACCAGTTGCTTTCACATTCATATCACATATAACTCACCTACTACCTACTACCTACTGATCCATTTCTCTCATGATTGCCTCCCTTTCCCACGAGCCAACCCTAATGCCAGTGTCTTTGCAAGTGATGTCACATATTATAATATTGTGACACAAATGCAACTCTGTGTGAGCACTCTCCCCATCTACCTGTGCTCCCGCACTGGACACCACTTTTATGCTTACCTTGACTTGATGTCTAAACTGATAACCCGAATACTGTACTAACTTATACTGTATTAATGTTACTTTTGGGTGATAGCATAATGTATTACGGTTACAGTATATACTGTTGTGTCGAAACTGGCAAATGCAGTCTATTAACAATTATTTGGACATAATTTGAATTTGAATTTGAATTTGAATTTGAATGGCAAATATATTGTGCATTTGATTACTTTATTACTGTAAAGCTCTTAATTATGGACTAATTCTAGAATTGTTCCCTTATTTGCACTCATATTTGAATCCATACTTTTGACAATCAATTAATTATATGACTGTAAATGTACTGTATTTGCAAAGTATTTTTCATTCATAACAACACTTGGTATTATATTAAAACTTGAGACACTTTAACATTGAGTATGAAATAAGATATCCTTGGAATCAATTTATAGGCCATAAGTTATTCACAATTTTAATTTCATTAAATTGCGTTCAATGAAAGCATGTATTGCTGTCATCCATATTTCACATATTAATAACAATCACTTTCATTTGGATATCAGTCCCAAGGATACCATCGTTCAATGTTAAGCTGTTTTACATAACAGTAATACTGTAATACTGTACATACATTATATACAATGTATGTATTCACTACACTTCTTGTCATTTATATTACACTTATATCTGTTATATTAGAGTTCAATGTTATAATATTAATATGAAATATTTGTAAAATGCATTAACAGTCTAATACCAGAATTCTTAATACGGAAGTGTTTTGCTCAACATATATTGTATCAGTTTTAGTCAATAGTTATATAACATTAGCCATGAAAATGAACAAACACTTCCGTAATAAACAGTGTAGTTTTGGCATCAATACAGTTGCACTGTATACCAATATAAAAATATATTTAATATATTCAGTAGTTGCGATTGCTTTCACTGATTATTACAAGACGTCTGCGAAAATATTTTTATTGAATTCAGTTTTAAATATTACTTAGAATACTAAATATAAATTCATTTCTATTATTGCTATTTTGTTTACATTCTTATCAAAACTAAATTAAGTCTATTCCTGTGCCATCAATTAAATTAAAAACCTTAACCAGATCTTTATATATTTACCGTATATACTGTAGTGTTTCATAGTAATTGTATTATCTAACTATTTTTAATACACATTCCTTTTTATGTATTAATATCTGACCTCATTTATGCTATTTATTAGATGTATTGTCAGATCAACTAATGGCTAATTGTTATTCAATATTCACAGAATGATTGCATTGACCAGTCCTGAAGAGAGTTGGGTCGCAAAATGGCAAAAGATTAGTGAGTTTTCACAGCTCTCCCTCTCTCCCCTATTGGATGTATTAATGTATTGCTGTCTGTCTGGTGGGTTTAGATCGCAAATGTAAAGGGATTTACGCAATCAGTGTTTCGGGACGACTTCCGGCTGGGATTATACGCGAACTAAAGAGCAGAGGAGTTATCTACCGGTCCAGAGATAGGTCTTCTAATTGAATGACACATTGCTCTCACTTATCATACATATGTAACATTGTATCAAAATATGGCATAAATTATAGTTTCATTATTTGTATTGAATTGAATGCTTAAACTGAATAAATTGAGTTCAAAATAAATGTCTAGAGTCTAGACGTTGTGAAGGAATGTGGTGTCAATAATATATGAACTGATTGTGACTATTATTGTCGGAATAAAAGTGTTGGCGTTTTGTTGTGCGATGGGAGAGAACAACACATCACTACTTGTTCTATAGCTTAGACATAGGGATAGGGATATAGGGATAGAGTTAAATGTGTTATTTTGTGCTCTATTTTTGCTTTTATATAAAGGGGTAGTGGAGGAAAGGGTATAGGCTTTTTGCAACAGGTCCCAGATTTAGAGCAGGTAAGGGGAAAGGGATCACTGCCACAGAACAGTGCGAACCCTATCTCTATGTCTGTGAGTAGTGGTCAATAGAGGACCAAATCTTTCTATATTTTAAAAAGTCTTCCATTGTTTGCAGTTTTGTTTTGTTATCACAAAGTTTTTGTTGTATTCATTCACTTCTCAAGGAGTTTGTGTCCGATATATGAAATCTCCTTTCGCTTTCCGTCCGATTTTCTCTTTGCTTTCCATTGCCTTACATTTGACTTCTCTTTATTGTGTTATTTTTAATTCAGACTCAACTCAAGCATTCTAACTATCGCATCATAAAAATATACCATTCAATCAATTATAATAAATAACCAATAACAGAGAGAGAGAGAGAGAGAGAGAGAGAGAGAATATTATAGTGTTCTTATATCCTCTATGAACGCGCAGATGGTTTTCAAGTTTACTTTCAAATAATATACAAAACTTCTCTTTTAAAAAGAAATACTTTTCTTTGCATCGATAAGAACATTGAGAAATACATAGAAAGAGAAGCTATCGGTCTTTAGGCTGTTAGTGCTGTTAATGCTATTCATTCCCATAGATATAGGAGTTCTCCTTCTGGCAATCAGATGTTTTTTAAATATAATTTATTGTATAATTCATTACTTAATTATTTATAAACTTTAAATACAACTTCAGAAGTAAATATCGGTAAATTCTAGACTTTGTTCATTTGTTTTAATTTATTTTTACTTAAAATTATATTCGTTAGTCATTGTATTTTAATGCTCTCTCTCTCTCTCTCTCTCTCTCTCTCTCTCTCTCTCTCTCTCTCGTGTCCATTTTTATTATAAATTGAGGTACTGTACTGTATATGGCTCACAGATTGGGCTTGAAATGAAAATTTATGATTAAAATTATTTATTTTATTTCTATCTATTTTATTATGTTGTTTATTCTGAGTTATTGCATTAATATTAGGTGCTGTTATTTGTAAACTGAATTAAATGTAATAAGAATCAACATTTTTAAAATAAAATTTATATTCTAAAATTTAATTATCAAAGGTATAAAATACATGAATAAATTTATGCAATTTAAATTGTGTTTTATCTATGTTGTTTTTTAATTTAAAGTTTAATAAAAAATATTAATTTTTAAGAATTTTATTGTATAGTTTGTAATAAATAAATTCTCGATTAACTCTAAATAATATTATATAAATTAAATAAATTATGGTTTTGTAATACTTTTCAAGATTTATAAATTTAGTTTAAAGCACTTTTATTTAGTATTTTTATTAGTGCAGTACTATATTTTATAATTATAATAAATATTTAATAAATAAATTACAAATAATAACTATATTGTATTAGCAATCTAAAATTATTAGTGTTTATAATATGGTCAACGCTTATCAGAAATAAGGTTTGATATGTAAAGAACACTGAAATTATATTTTAGTTATTATATAATGTTTTGTTTCCAGCAGAATGTCCACAAAACATATTTTTTAGTTTGAATCATAAAAATAACGCCTCAAAGCTATTATACAAATATAATACGAAATAGATATACACAGTGTATTACACACTATCTATGCTTTATATAAAATACAGTATATATGAAATGTCTAACAAGTTTAGGACCGCCTAATTTCCAATCACTTTTAACGCCCCGGGGATTCACTCGCGTATTACTCGAGTCACCAGCTCTTGTATGCCAGAGAGGGAGAGGGAGAGTGAGAGTGTGAGCACTGCTCTGACTGTATTGCTTGCACCAGAATATAACACTCCAAACACACACACATTCACTATATAAATATATAAATATATTTTCGTTCAACTTATTTGCCGTCAGTGCCCACCAAAAACTTTTTTCTCACTTTTTTCTTCTTTTTCTCTTCATTCCATTACGAGATTTATATGAGTTTTTCAATCAAATTTCTATCAATTGTATTCTTACATTCAATCAATTACTATTATTATATGATTTTAGTATATTATTCCAATTCTTTTTAACATATATTCTGTTGTTTAATTGTGTGAATTTAAGTTTTAATCATAGTTTGTTATTATTGTTATTAATATTCTTAAAACCAATTATCAGTTATTTGTTATAATAAGAAAAGTTGTTTATTAGTAAATAATATATAATTAATGCATTATTTGTTACAATGGCTAAGCATTTGTCAAGAAATATATTAAAGCATTTTTCTCCGATGGCTTACACGATGAAAGTCAACTGTCCGTCCATATCGACCACAGCACCCGATCCTACGACCGCCACTTCGAAGACCAACTCCGGCTGTCCTGTTATGCACCCGAAGTGTAGCCATGGGTCTCGTCAACTCAATTATTCAGTAATGGGGTGTCCGGTCAGTGACTATAATAACACAATAGGGTCGCCACAACACACACTGACTACGGAACCAGTCCTGCCTTATGAAGCTCTTCCTGCACCGAAAGGTTTACCATTTGTGGGAACGTTGTTTGACTTTATTAAATCTGGTGGCGCTGGATATACGCACCTGTATTGTGATGGACGGCACAAACAATTGGGTCCCATATATAAGGAGACTTTGGGCAGCGTTGAGGCCGTCTTCATAGCCGACGCCACTCTTATGCAAAAGGTTTGTCCACTCAATCATTGAATGCATTATTCTTACGATTCATTGCAATATTTGTTGCAATACTTTATTATGAATTCATGTGAACTTTCTTAACCTAATTATAACGACTTGTTTGTGACCATAATTTCGATAAATTTTAAGTTAATTATTTTCAAATTTATCGAAAAGGTATATCAATTTGAAGGTAAATACCCTCAACATATGGTACCGGAACCATGGATTATCTACAATGAAATCAATGGCATTAAACGCGGATTATTTTTTATGTAAGTCTTTGTCTAGTTTTATATTTTATTTTATAAAGATCAAGAAATTTTTGAAACCAAGTGTTATTAATAAGTTTTTGCCTAAAGTAATAGATTTGTGCTCAGAATGCAAACAATTTATATTCAAATCTGTTCAAAGTTTTATTATGGATTTGTATATTGGGTTCATATCTATACTGTACTTATGTTTATAAATACTCTAAATCTTCTTAAGAAACACTGGGTTCACTTGATTGCTAACTCACAAGTACTTTATTCATGCATTTGTTTTAATTTAATTTTAGTTTATTGCTAGAGCTTACATATTAGGTTTAATTTTAAATATTTTCAATCTATACTACTTTATATTGAATACTGTATATTATTAAATTTTATAAAATGAATATTTTGTTTATATTATATAAATTGTTGGTGAAAATGAAGTTAAATGTGTTGTTTCGTGTGAAAATAATGTACATTATATGGTACATACTGTACCGTATAGTACCGGTATATGAGTTACATTGAAGTGAAAGCACTACTGTACTGCTGATAGAGAGAGAGAGAGAGAGAGAGAGAGAGAGAGAGATTGACGGTATAATCGGTATAATTATAAGAAATCGCACGATCAGTATATACAGTGCTCTCACACTAAATCCAAAGTAAAACTATAGAATTGAGTGAAAGCTTCTTTGGATAAAATATATTCAAAATACTTAAAAATTGTCGAAATATATTCAAGGTCAATCGTCAGTGCATATATTTATCATACTGTATATAAATTACTGTGCATATAGTTTATACAAACAGTAAAACAGATAAAACCTTCGGAAATGGGCCGACAATGTATAAAATTATAGCATTTCTATTTCATGTTAATATATATTGTACTGTAGATACTGTTAGATATCTATATTATATGTTTTGGTATATTTTGCAAAATATCCTAATTTTAGTGCTAACATAAATATAATATGTTTTCATGTCTACCATTAGGGATGGCCCAGAATGGAGTGAACGCCGCAAAAGTCTTAATAAAGTATTTCTCAAGTCGACAACAATTAGCGAATACACAAACATTTTTAATTCAGTTGTCACTGATTTTCTTCATAATTGGGACCAACTTTTCGTTGGCTTTGATAATCAATCATCAGATAAAGCAATAGTAACACAATTGGAGAAAGAGTTATACAACTGGTCTATTGAATGTAAGTTTGATTTGTTGTACACTTTCCAGTATATCAAGTCCTTTCATATATTATATACAATACACTAATATTCCCATAAATTATCTTTGTTACACTTTATCTTATGATGTAATAAAAATATCATATAATGTTTATTAATCTAGCGTCACATTGACAGTGAATTTGTTGACTTTTCAAATGATAATTAGTTTGTTTTGCTATATTTTTGGTCTTATGTTTTAAATTCCGATTAATTTGTGGGTATTTTCTCATAAAACACTTTTATTTATCGTTTATTTATTATATATTATTATCAATTATATTTGAGATATAATTTAGTAAATATTTGTATAAAAGAGTTCAATGAAATTGTTTATACTTTACTACGAGTACTACATTTATATGAAATAATTGATTAAGTTGTGGACAATCTCTAACAATCAAGACTTAACACAACCTTACCTTACATTCAATATTGATTTAATGAGGACTGAGTGCAAAACCTGTGATGGCCCTCCACTTTAGTATTACATATTGATTGGCATTATTATATAAATTATATCTGCAATTGATATCAATATTAAAATAAACATCGAATCAATGTCATATATATAATGAGATTAAAAATCGTTAAAATGTTAGAAAAATAGAGAAGTTTAGAAACAAATTTTCACATTTTCTCAAAGTTCTTTGATCTCAAAATAAAATAATTTTAATTCAAGTTTAAGAGAAAGAAAAATTTTATTTAAGGGAAAACTGATAATTTTTAATGAATACGGAAAACGAGAAGTGGTTTAATGAATGCAAATTAAAAAATAAATGTTAAGAGACTTTCGTTAGATTATTCATCACATGAAAAGCCTGTTTAAAGTTAACAAATAAAACATTTTGGAAATACATTGAAAATCATTTCACTTTTAACTGTAATTGTAGTGTAAAGTTGGTTTATTTGCATAGCTTTTGATATGAACCGTGCGAACACTTTTACAGGCGTTATAAACCATCCTTTACCTCAATCTATAAAATGTCAATAAGTTGTATAATTATATCATTATTTATATACAAATTTTATGTAGCTCATTACATTTTGACAAAATATCATATATCAATTTATTCACAAATATCTCATTATTAAGTCTTGTTATAATTTAATACATATATGCTTATAAATTATTATTATTATTTTACGTTTTTTCAGATTATATAAATGCCAGAATATCATTAAAATATTTTTAAAATGATTATACTAATAATTGCAAATTAAATTATTATAAATTCTTATTTCATCTTTACTTCAAAAAAAACTTTCAAATTAAAATTTTAAAATCTCTTTGTGATTAAAATACCAAAATAGTTAATTCATGTACTTGTTCAGGGAAAAAACTAAAAAAAGTAAAAACAGTTTTTCTAGTGTTTGTTTACCGTATATTAAATGATATTGTAATAATTATTACTGTAGCATCATTTACAATAGACACATACGACACACACACTTTAGCGCTTAAAAGTTATTAGTTTTAATGGTTGTCAATATAAAAATATTAAATTAAAGTATTATGAGATAATTGTATGACTCGTGTACAGTATGATAAATATATAAAATGCCTTGTTTTGGGTTATTGTCTTTATGTGGCACTTGATTTTGTTATCAGATGTTTGTGATATAAATGTAATCTTATAGTCAAATGTAAAGTTCTTGTTTAAACGTTTTTACAAACATTTGACAGTAATTTTAATGTTTATTTTATAAATGATAACAAACTGTATGAGTTATTGATGAACTAGCATAATGTAATAATAAAGTACAATAATTGAATTTTACTAACGAGTAAAAAATTAGAGCAAAAGTTTATTATTATAATATATCTGTACTGTATGTATATGATCTCAGCACAATTTAGCCTTGGTGAGCTGTTAATTGTATAACTAGTGTATAACATACTATTAAAATATAAGTTATTAAAAAAATCCCATTTTCACATAAAATCTTAAAGATTTGTTTTTATTTATTATGAGGTTAGCCTTGAAAATAATGCTCAAAAATTTTTGGTTTTCAAACAATTTAGACATTTTAAAATATGAATTAAATAAAATATTAAAAATCACTTTTTTCATTTGCAAAATTCAAGGTTGAGGTTAGCCTTTAACTTAAGACCTCTTTTTTGGGCGAATCATTAAAATTAATGCTTTCCAAAAATGTTTGAGCCATTAATTCTCATTAAATTTTGGGAAACATTTTTGAGATTGTGTTCTCAAAAGAGCATTAATTATAACTTATTTTAATTGCTTCTCGAATACAAACTTTCACTCTTCACTTGACTTTCACTTTAAGATACTGTATATTAAAGTACACTAAAAGAGATTAAACTCGTTTTGTAACCATTAGAATGACTTTTTGTGAATTTATTATTTTTAACAAATCACAGCATTATTACACTTATAAACCATTGGCTTAATTTATGAATTAAATATATTAATGCTTCATACTGTAATGATGATTACAATTTATAATTTAATATATGATAATAAATAAGCTGAATTTTGATTAATATCTACTTTACACATCTCTGGTTGAATGCAATAATTACTAATACTTTATGTAATAAGAGTTGTTATCTTAACTCATATGCCTATCGGTGCTCTTCATGACAGCGTTAGGAACGATGATTTTCGGTCGACGACTCGGATGTGTCGCAATGGATGTCAGAGCTCATGGAACTGGTGGTAGTGATGGCAGTGGTGGTTGTGCTGATGACAATCACAGGCCAATGGCAAACATACATGAGTTCGTTCATTGTGTGCAACAGATATTTGTGGAGTCGGCTAACATGCAGCTCATCCCTCCAAAACTCGCTAACCGACTCAATCTACCCGTTTGGCAACGCTTTGTCGGCGCCGCCGGAAAGGCACTTACTTTAGGTATGCACCAGTTATGCACATTTATCATCAAACCTCATATACTGTAGTATTAGACTACTCTCATCCCATTTAATGCATTTAGTATTGTAGTATTCCTTTATATTCAATATTAAAGTTATTCATTTTAATAATATGCTATTATACTAAATTTATAGTACAGTACAGTACAGTATAAGTTTTCATATAGCAAACACAAATACACTTAATCCTAAATAATTATTAACATATAAGGGGGTTCTAAGACGAATAAATAATTATATTCATATTATTTACTGTATTTTAATTATCTAAATTGACAACAAAAATATTATACAGTGTTAATGGGTTCACATACTATTAAAAATCATCTAATATCTTATACTTGTAATGTAGAGCTCAAGGTGGTTTTATGAAAATAGATTAGAATTTATTTGAGAACTGAGACATGGACTACAGTAGATATACAACAAAATTTTAAGATGAGATGTTAATCATCACATTACACTCAATTACACAACTGTTGCCCTCATATGAAAGTTTTCATTTAATAGTATCCTATAAACTTTATAGTATAAAGTATAACTAATATTTTATATTAGTTTTTAAACTTTATTTTATATTACAGTATTAATCTACATGTTAAATATTTATGTTAAATATATAAATGAATAAAATATAAAAGTTAAAATGCTTCAAATTACAGTTTATTAATAAATAGAGATAGGATACTATGGAATTAAAGCTATCATATGAATGATAGCAAAATTGGTTGTTAATAAGCAAACGTTTAATTATTAAATTTTAATAATTATATAAATAAATTTAATTAATAAATTAATAAATGAATTAATTATAAATAAATTGACGATATTTTGATGTGAAGCTCGCAGTTATGTGAACGATAACGTAGAAGAGATGAAAAGACGACAAACGAATGGACAGTGCGATGGAATGGGAGGTCAGGGAATAATCCGAGAACTGCTCGAAGAGGGCTCTATAGACCAGGAAGAAATCGTTCGCATTATTGTCGATCTGTTCATTGCAGCCGCCGATACGGTATTATATTTGATAAAATACAAGCTTTTGTATGAAATACTTGAACGCAACCATTTTCTCGTTGGGGACAGACATCACATGCTACTCAATGGGCTCTCTATCTGTTGTCTCGTAATCCCAAATGTCAGCAAAAAATGTTAGATGAAGTGAATGGTGTAACCGGTGGACAGTTATTAGAAGAAACCCATTTACCACAGCTTTCCTATGTGAAGGGCGTCATCAAAGAAGCGCTCAGGTATTCATATGATATGACATTATAATTGTTGTATTTATAACAAATAAAATACATTTGAAAATGATATATTATAACTCATAACTAGTTGAGAGTCAATTGAATTAAACAACAATTTCTTAATTTTTGAGAAAAACATTTGAAAATGAAATGTTTAACTTTATGCCACTTTTTGAAGTATTCTATATATGTATATCTTATGTAATAAACAAATATCTGATATTTATATATGTTGTGAAGGCTATATCCGGTCGCGCCATTCCTGTCAAGATATCTCTCACAAGACATGGAACTGTCAGGATATGGCATCCCTTCGGGAGTGAGTATTACTCCTCATGTTATTAATTCTTTCAATTATAACATATATTACAACAAAATTGAATGACTAAATAGAGAAAAACAAAACCAAAATACAAATTAAATCATATAAACAAAAATATTTTGTTTCTAAAAATACACACAAAATATAAATTTAGAAAAAGTCAATCATTTATAGTTCTCTAAAACAGTGAACTCAACATTTTTCAAAGTCAAGGCTCTTTCACTCTCATAATCACTGACAGCACTCTTACTCCTATACTTTACTTGTTACAACATTTAAATCTCTCTCTCTCTCTCTCTCTCTCTCTCTCTCTCTCTCAGATAGTAATAAATTTCAAGTTCTT